GGTCATAGTCAGCATTTCTCTCCCTCCAAACACGGCGAGTCAGGTTAATGCCAAAGAGCTCAATTTTGGTCTCATCTGACAACAGCACTTTCTCCCAAGCCTTCTCTGAATCATTTTGATGTTCTTTGGCAAACTTTAAATGAGCCTGTACTGTGCTGCCAGTCCATTGCGGCGTAGTGTGTTACCTATGTTTTGCTTGGTGACTGTGGTCCCAACTACCTTAAGATCATTAACAAGCTCCTGCCGTGTAGTTCGGGGCTGATCCCTCACCTTTCGCACCAACAGTTGTCTCCTTCTCACCAAGCTTCTTGCTTGATGGTCTTGTAGCCCATGCCAGCCTTGTGCAGATCTACAATCTTGTCTCTGACATCCTTTGACAGCTCTTTGGTCTTGCCCATGGTGGTGGGAGAGGTTGGCATGGAAGATACAGACTGTGTGGACAGGTGTCTTATACGCCTAACGAGCTGACATTAGGAGCAACTTCTTAAAGCGGCAGGACTAATCTGTGTTCCACATGGGCACATAACCAATCTGTGGGAGCCAGAATTCTTGCTGGTTGGTAGGGGATCAAATATTTATATCACTCACTGAAATTTTTGTCCACTGAATTTTTTACCTTTATATAATGTGTTTTTTTTTTGGTTGATATTCTGACTCTATCTGTTAAAATAAACCTACCATAAAAATTACAGACTCTTCATTTCTTTGTAAGTGGCCAAACTTACAAAATAAGCAGGGGATCAAATAAATATTTTCCCCACTGTACATTTCAGTAGTGAATTAAATGTATGTTTATTTATAATCAATAATCTACTTATGCATTGTCTGCCAATTTGGATTCATGTTTTCACTGAGTTTAAGGGCATATGATAATTTGGCCAAAGTTGGATATCTTATGAGGCCGAATAGCTAAATTACGTAACTTTTGGAACACAATATGTTTCGAGAACACACTTGTGATGCTTGAAAATGTTGTGTTTGCAAAAAATGTTTACAAATGCTAGTAGTAGTGCAGAGTCTCATAGCGGCTGCACAGTTTCGTGATGAAAGCTAGCTTTAAAGCGTACAGATTTATATGTGTCTGCTGTTCGCTCAACTGCAGGGGTGCCAGATCAGAGATGGATCGAGTGACGTGACAGCGACTGAGACTGCAACGCTCCCCCCATCTGTCAGGCAGGCAGTCCGTCCTCCTCCCGAGAACTGAGACGAGATGACAGATTGAGGGTGAACGCAAGGACTGGCTGGTACAGTAGGCAAGTGGTGCACAGTCACATGCTGTTTTAAGGAGAAGTCTTTAGCTCAAAGCTCCCACTCTCTCCCAAAGAACTGTGAATACAATTTCTCAGAACATGAGAGGAAGCCATCTGCAGAAAAATAAAAGCAACAGACAAGAACATCGAAGTTCAAATTGGTATTCAAATGAGGAAGATTACTAGCACACACCACGCATGCAATTTCCAACTACTCTATTAAAAATCCCTGCCAGTGAGTGGGGTCATCTTGGAAATAGTATGTGGGTGACTTCCCTCTGGGTCTCTTCAATCTGCATTGGCAAACACAATTATAAAACATATTTTTTCATATTTCACAATGATAAAACATCTATATTATATTCCATCGTGTGTTTTTAGTTTTAGAATGCACATGGATCCATGGATATATATTTACACTCGAAAAAATGCTGGGTTAAATAGGGACAAACCCAGCAATTGGGCTGTTTTAACCCAGCGGGTCACTGTACACTCTTAACATTTTTTAGAGTGTACAGTGTTTAAGTTCACTTATTAGTCATGCAAATGAAGTAAAAACATTAAATTTAGTGTCTAAATGTAAAGTGTGTGTAGCCCATATAAGCTACGAATGCCCTGCATACCCAAGCCATTCGAGAGAGTGCTTATTTATATTAACATAAATATAACTTTCCTTTTCACCTGAGGTGCATAAAGCTTAACATAAAGCTTGTTTAAAGGAATAAAATGCTGGAAATTTGTTGTTGTTACTTCACTGCCAAACAGTAGTTTTCGGAAATCGATTCCAGTTATGGATGAATTCGTGCCAGCAGATCCACAATTTTTTTTGTCTATTGCCCCATAACACCCGATGTACTGGATGTAATCCAGTCTGTATCCAGTCCAGACGGTGGATCAGCACCTAGAGACGACCTCTACTGCCCTGAATGTCAGCAGAGACCATGTCAATTAGACAAACCCTAGAGAAAGATCCCCTGTGAAGACCTCGCCGGCCATCGGCACAAGACCACGAGAACCAGACGAGTCCTCTACTCAGTCTGATGTGTGTTGCAGCCTGGTATTAAACCACACCATGCTGGTTTCGTCTGGCCAGAGGAGAACTGGCCCCCCCAACTGAGCCTGGTTTCTCCCAAGGTTTTTTTTTTTCTCCATTTCTGTCACCAGTGGAGTTTTGGTTCCTTGCCACTGTCACCTTTGGCTTGCTTTTTTGGTGACACAATTTCTGGCTATATTGTCCACTTGACTGCACAGACACTATTTGAAGAGAACTGAACTGATCTGGACGATGACATCACTGAATCAACAATGAACTGACTTTAACTAATAAACTGTTTTCTATTGTGCTCTTGCATTATCAGCATATTTTCCTGTTTAACACTGTAAAGCTGCTTTGACACAATCTGTATTGTATAAAGCACTATATAAATAAAGGTGACTTGACTTGATTCGTCATTATTGTTGTGCGTTCTCATTGGTTGGTTGTCATGTGGGCAAATTCATGTTCTAGAAAAGCTGCACCTGAATTGCTTGCGTAAACGAAAAAATAACCTAAATGCCGTTGATTTAACTAAACTAAATCAGACTAAGACAACAGCAACAAATAACTCTGTAATTTCATGTTTTGTGAAACATTTAGTGTAAATCCACAGATAACATTCCCCCACAATTTTGACATAGGCTACACAAAGTACATATTATCTGGCAACATGGGTTTGTCCTAAATTGCTGCC